TCTCTTTCTCTTTCTCTTTCTCTTTCTCTTTCTCTTTCTCTTTCTCTCTCTTTCTCTCTCTTTTTGTGATTAAGGGTTTGTGGTGCACAAGCTCGCCCTTGGTCGCCTGCCTCGATCCCACGAAGCGGCATTTTCGCGGGTCATCCTGGGTGTGACGTTGACCCAGGGTGCAGACGCTGCTGTTGCTGATGAGGCAGATGCCTCCAAACACGTTTTCTATTCGATCGGTGGCAACAACTGCACCTTGCCAGCAAATCCGAGCATTGACCGTGGAATTGAGCAATTCGTCCAAGAGGTAGAGGGGAGGGTTTTCGCAGACCTATTTGCTGCATGTGTTGTTTTAAGAGCAGGTCAACCTTTTCTTGCGCGTTTTAGTCATTTTAGCCGAGGTGGAAAAATGTACTCGGTCACTGCAAGGCACCAGTACGGCGCAAGACAGACTGAGAGTGAGACGGAAATTGGAGTCTGAGATATAGATCTGCCTGGACAGTAACCAGTCACATTTCCAGTAGCCAACAGTTGCCGAGGTCGCTTGCTACACTGTTAGCTTTGTGTTGGGTGTTGCTGGCCAGATGGAAGTGTGGATGTTGGAGGATGGGTCTGAAGGCACGCTTCGTTGGGACTACTTAAGCTGAAGCATGTATTGTGTTGCTTTTGTTTGCTATACCCTGTAGCTGTGTTGCTGAAAGGTTTTGTCTCAAGACTTGCTTTATGAGGCATGAATGGAGACATGGGCAGACACAATGAAGAACTTTTTCGGTTGACTTGCCGCAAAAAGCACTTTCGGTGAAGACGATGTCGTCAAGGGTCTTGGTGAAAAGACTTCGGGTTTGCGCGCCCGAATTTCGCTCCAGGTGAAGAGACAGCTGAGTGAAGCACAGACCTGCCGCAAGGAAAAAGAGACGCCCTAACGCATTGTTTGCGAAGGTCGTAGAAGGACCCCTGAACCATTTGGTGACTTTCTTTTTGATTGGGATGTTGGAAAGGAAGAGGATTGCAGGATGAAACAGATGAAAGACAAGATGGAGGCCAGAGGGTGGGCTTGATTAATAGGGCGAGGGGCCCCTACTATTCGAGGGTGGTAAGGCCTGTGTGAGGGGTACCCTTTGACTTTGTGAGCTTGAAAGCCTTAAGATTTTGACGGAGGCTTAATGAGCGAAGATGAACAAAATTTCGCTAGCGAGTTTATTGATGTTTATCGTTGTCTTAACAGGGTAGGATGAGAAGAAAAGCAGGATGAGAAGGAGGATGAGCAGGATGGATGAGTGGATTAGAGTGCTATCTCTCAATAAGATGGCAGGGGGAAAAGGGTGGATCAGAAGATCAGCTTCACCAAGGAAGTTTCACTATTGGAAACCATTGGATGCTGATTGAGCCAAAGTCCAAAGTATTCATACGCAATATGTTTTTTTGATTAATAGGGGAAGGCTTTACTAGGGGGATGCACCGGTTGAATTCCAGGCTTTAAATTAGTCTATTGTTGGAGGCTCGAGCTGGGCTTGATTACTATACAATATGGGGAGGTTCGGAGGTTTGTTAATCCTGAGTCAGCATTAAAGCTGATGACAGCGCCTGTTGTGGAGGTATGACATGTTAGGACTGCCACCTCGACAGCTAATGAGTACAGTAATGTGTGGCTTACAATTTAAACCGATTTCTGAGACTCTGACGGCTCTTGACTTGTGGCAAAGCGTTGTTTGGTGCCTATTGAGCGGCTGCAAACATTTCCACGTTCTCAGCCCCGCTTTTTGTGACATGCTGACATGCCGTGCTCATAACTATGATGCATCATGGCAGTGGCATCTAAACGATCTAAATCAGCATGAACCTCGCCTCCCAAAAAAAGGCCTTTCACTACACAGCCACTCCCGCCCTTCCACCCGTTGCAGCCACCCACAATCGCCACGGTCTCCGGTCTCGGTCGCCGCCGCGGAGGTGGACTCTTCCTCGCCCCGTCACCGCACCGACAGCGCCAGCTCCAGCGAGCGCGACGAGCGCGACGAGCGCGACGAGGCCGAGTCGTTTCTTCGGGTCGACGGGTGTTTTTTTTCAAGAAGGTCCTGAAAGAGAAAGGGTGTTATGGATGTTTATGGTCTCACAGATCCCGGCAATTGTTAACCTCTGTTTGATTCATATTGAAACTTTTGATTAAACACATCATACAAAGATGTTTCCGAACACCAAAAGTTTGATGAGCCTCAGTCTCGATGGAAATTCACAACATTTGCCACTTCATTCCACTGTACACTGGCTAGATGCCTTCATGAACGGACCTCTATCCATTGGCGATGAGTGGTTGCGAGGGTTCCGAACAAGCATTGCCCAAAACGTTTTTTGGGATCAGCGGAAGCGCTGCGAAAGACCATTGACCATAAGATGGGCCCTTCCTCGGTCGATGAAAATGATTTCAACACTGACTAAGGACGTTGTCGAGGCCCAAAACGCACTGGGTCTCACCCTCACCGCCCCTCGATGACTAGTGAGTGAGGGCTGCCCCGGGCCGCGCCCCCCAACATAACCTTTCAGTCTGCCGGAACCCGACGGATCTCCGTCCGTTCCGCGGGTTCCGCGCACGTCCGCCGTGGCCGTTGTCGGCGCCGTTCGCCTCTTCGACGGGCGGTCGAAGGCGTGGCAATCCCGCGTGGCCTCGGAGCTCGGTGGCGAGGTGCCGGAGTTGCCACAGTTCAAGGCGCCGCAGGGTGGGAGGGCGGTGTTCTCGTTTGGGAGGGCGGGTCGGCGCAGATGGTGTGGCAAGTTGGAGGGCTAGGTCTAAGAGGATTCTATCCTGTGAACACTTTGCTTGGCATTTATTTGTTCGTGGTCCCCACGTAGATCGAAAGTGAAACACATATGTATAACAATCAAATACAATTAACGGGTGTCCCAAACATGAACCTCATGACCCCTACAAAGGCTCCGTTGCTCTGGCATCCATTCACTTCCGTTCGGCAGGCGCCGAAGCGTCGAGCACCGAAACGCTACAGCAGCGCAGCAAGAAGGCATCCTGTGCACTTGGCCTCTTGGCCGTCCACGTGGAGAATCCCCCGCTCACGCGTCACGCGTCGCGTCACGCGTCGCGTCACGCGTCGCGTCGTCACACGTGCGGGTACGGGATCGTTGGACGAGGACTTGGTTTCAGAACTCCGAACCTGGACACATCTTTTTGACACCGGCAGACATCTTTGGGCTTATACTGATTATACTGCAGGGGCCCGGCTCGGCTTCTTCCAAGACTCTGAGAATGAAGATCATGAAGCAAGTTTCCTACTAGGAACAAGAAACTACTAGGAACAAGTGCATCGCTTCTAGTAACAAGTGCCTTACTAGTAGTAACAAGAAACTACTAGGGGCTCCTGGCATCGCTACTAGGAGCGATCGGACGCTACGAACGGAGCAAAGACCTTGTTTTTCCCGGATGCGAAACCGTGACTCAGGCGGCGCGCAAGAACGCCGAGACAGCCACGAATAGCCCTGTCACCGGACCGGCTGAGAGTCAGTGATGGCCTGAAACATGGGCCAGACAATGGTGAGCAAAACTATGCACACATAAACATGACCAATGATCCTTCTTCAAAGTGAGCAGTCCTTCAGAAGGTGAGTCAGTTCATGTCAGTTCTGTAAGATTATGTAAGTAATTTCTTGTTTGATGATCATGCTTGATTTTCTCAAGTCAAGGTGGAGCAATGATGAATGCATTAGAAGGCTCTTGAATGGGTTTTGCTCATCTTGTTCATGTACAAAAGCTCTCATCGTCGGTTCGCGACCTGGGTGCCGACGGCGTTGGGCGTTCGCCTTTGGCGCTGTCGAAAATATGTGCGTTGAACGACGCACCGACTCGGTGCGTTCATGTATCAAGGCCTGACTGGGGGTTCTTCGGCACGAGCTTGCAGTTCCTGGATGTTCCCTAGCGTTTGAGGCTCATTTGACTCGAGTGATTGGCACCCGCGCATCGGGCAGGGTCCGGCAGTTCTGATTCACTATGGCAAAGTGGGTCTACAACTTTGGAGATGGGAAGGCACCAGAGCAGCAAGAAGCTACTAGTAACAAGAGCATCGCTACTAGTAACAAGTGCATTACTACTATAGCTGTATGGATCCTTGTCTTCGCTACATCCAAACAACAAACACGACGGCAGATTGCTTCCCGGATCTGACACGTGAAGATGAGGGCCCGTGTTGGCATACACCTTTTGAGGGACCGATGATAAGATCGGTAAAAGGTCCTTCTTCAACTTATGTTATTTTTGGCTACATGGCCCAACTAACTCAACTGGGTGTTGGGCCATGTAGCTAAACACCCTTTTGTTTGGTTAGCTCCTTCGCACATTCCCAGCTCGGTGTTTGCTTCACCCAGCCGAGCTGCGAAGGAAAACACCCTCATGAAATTGGTCGTTGGGAACCGATCGCGTCATGCGATGTTCGACGTCATGTCACATGTCTCCTTCCTTTTTCCGTCGCCCCCCTCTTTTTTTTTTCCGTACCTTCCACTATAACAAGACTGCAGACGTCCAAGTCCTCAATAGCGATCAGTTCCAGAAACAGGGGCGCACGCATTTATGCAAAAACATCTCAATGCCTGGCAAGCTAATCTGGCGTTTGCCCGCTCGAACGCCCTACTTTGGTGTATTCTGGTGACCCTTTGGTGGCTGCCAAACTTTGCCTCACCCAAGAAAGATTCAATGGCTGGGAGCCGGTCAAATATGAGCTGGGCTTTGGATGCTTCTAGAATTCAGCCTGAACTTTATCAGTCACCTCTATTAACATGGAAAGAGAATAAGGCACTAACAGTGCTTTCATGGTTCTTGAAGTAAGTCCGTCGTGGTATTACTTATGTTCTAGCCCGAATGCCTATGTCATTGATTTGTATTTAACCTGCGCCTTCCTGCTACTCTTCTTTGCTACTGCTACTCCTGCTACAAGGCCGCGCAGCTGCTACTGCTGGTCTCACTTTGCTCTCCTAGGTCAAAGGCTGTGTTGCCATTCTGCATTCCCTGTCGTGAGGCTGATGGCCGAGCGGAGATGAAGAACCTCTTGGGCGGCAAGGGTGCCAATCTGGCGGATGCTCAGACATATAAATACATCCCGAGCTCAAGTGGCACAATGTTGCGGTGGTATTCCTTTTGGTTCCTTTTGGGGGAACACTTTGTCATACTTTGTCCATGAGAATCCTTGTCTCATCTTGTCTCCATGGTCTTGAGTTTGGGGTTTTGAGTCTTGAGAATGTGCATAGTCCAATGAGCTCGAATCTGAGCCAGACTTCAGAATCTGAGACATCTTGAAAAATCCGGATTCTATGTGGGCACTACGCCGATAACGAAACCGATAACTCGCCGATAACCGTTTGGATATGTTTTCAGCTTTCATAGCCACTTGCCCAGAGCCTGCGGACAGCTAAATTCCCTATCGAAGACATTGGTCTAGCCTTTCTTTTTGAGAACTTACATGTTAGTATTCTGATTTCAGCGAGTATCCACAATGTAAATGCAAATGCCAAAAGCATTTGGTTGAACAAAAAAGCTGAAAACCGATAAGGTCTCCCCAAGAAACGATAACGATAAAACACATCCTTAGCATAAATAATTGATTTTGACCGTGGCTCAGATGAGGAAATGGCATCCATTGGTCTTCCTGTGCCGCCCGGGTTCACTCTCACCACCGAAGTGTGCACTCACTTCTATCAGAACGACTGCAACTATCCCAAGGAGCTGACCCAGCAGGTGCCTTGAGCGAGTGGACTTTGCGCATGTTCAACGGCCAAGAAAGACATGATGAGAACATCATGAGAACATGTGAGAACGCACAAGGTACTGTGAAGATGAACACTGACAAAGAACAGGCCTGAACTCATCGCTGAAAGTGGCCTGATGAACTAGCACTCGCCAGGCAATCAACATCCAGCACCACAAAAAAGGATGTTCTTTTGATAGTTAGCAGCTAGCACACGGTCTGGGAGGTCTCTCAAGCACCCCTTGAGTGCAGGATGACATGGCAGTGGGTTGAAACTGGGAGAACAGACTAATGTGGGAGGTCAACCTACCCTGGTGAAAGCGGGTGCCATTGTCACGTCACAGCAACGGCACTGATCAGGTGGAGGAGGCGTTGACCTTGGTGCAACAGCGCACGGGCCGCGTGTTCGGCGACTCCAGCAACCCTCTTCTGGTCTCAGTCCGCTCCGGTGCAAGAGCATCCATGCCAGGAGAACTCGAGCAGTCGAATGCCGTCCAGTCAGACACCACCGAAGTGGAGGAAATTCATGTTCGGAGAACCTAAAGACCATTTTCAAAATGGTCTTGGACTCCCAGGGAGTGTATTAAACGAATTTGGCCGAGGACCTGTTGCACACAACTGAACTCATGATTGCCAATGATCCAATGGACAACTGGGTCTCGGGAATCTGGTCCAGTTTTTCCCCAGGTGTATCCCCAATCTGGTCTTGGGGGAAATCGTTTTCCGAGCTCGATCATCGTTGATGCTGCAGGAATGATGGACACGGTGCTCAACTTGGGCTTGAACGACCAGACTGTGGAAGCTTTGGCGAAGAAGTCGGGTGACCGGCGCTTTGCCTTCGACAGCTACAGGCGTTTTGTGCAGATGTACTCTGACGTGGTCCTGGGCATTGAAATCAACCATTTTGAGAAGCACTTGGATCGGGCAAAGGAAAAGCGCGGCGTGAAGCAGGACAAAATTTGAAGTCGGCGCGGGTCAAAACCGGCCCCCCAAAGTCCATTCTGTTCAAGGAGTTCACCAGAGAGTTTTGACCCCAGGCATCCTCAGGGCGTCTTTTTTTTGAAGGACAGTTCTTTGCCCATGTTGGCACATACTCTCGTATACTCTATAAGCTAATATAAGCTCATTAACATGAGTCAAGGTGACGGACTCATCACGATGAGCACAAAATACTACAAATAAAACCTACTTTAATTTGATCGGTTTGAGACGTGCAGGACTGCGAGCTTCTTGCCGAAGACTTGGAGAAGTTGGTAAAGTCATACAAGGCCGTGGTGCAGTTGGAGCTTGGTGAGGAGTTCCCAGAAGATCCAAAAGCACAGCTTTGGGGAGCCATTGGTGCTGTCTTCAACTCCTGGATGAATCAGAGAGCCAAGACCTACAGGCCTGGAGCACACTGAGCGGTTTGGATCATACAATATATATATATATAGAGAGAGAGAGAGCGCTCTCAGAATGACTGGCCTTTTATATAGACAGGCACAACTGCAAGTAACCAAGATAATTCGTTTGGCATACACATACATTGGATAGGCTTGAAGTCGGGACCCATGAGAGCTCAAGATGTGGCTGAGTTGCTGGCAGGCAGCTGCACGACATCCCTGAGTGGTGGGGCACTGCTGTGAACGTACAGGCCATGGTCTTTGGCAACATGGGCAATGATTGTGCTACAGGTGTGGCCTTCACTCGTGATCCATCCACCGGAACCAACGAATTCTATGGCGAATTCTTGGTCAATGCTCAAGGTGAGGATGTGGTGGCTGGAATCCGCACACCACAAGAGCTTACCATCAAAGCCCGTAAGTCCCATGGTTCAGACTTGCCATCCTTGGAAGAAGTGATGCCCAACATCTTCAAGGAGTTGCTGTCTGTGCGAAGCCAGTTGGAGAATCACTACAAGGATATGCAGGATATTGAGTTCACAATTCAGCAGGGCAAGCTTTACATGTTGCAAACACGTAATGGAAAGCGCACTGCTCCTGCTGCGCTTCAGATTGCCGTTGACATGGCCAAGGAGGGCTTGATCTCCAAGTCGCAAGCCTTGATGAGCTTGAAGCCTGACTTGATTGACCAG